CTGAAGGCTAGAGCTCTACCACTTGAGCCACAGCACGACTTCTAGCTTTTTATGGGGGTGGTAGTGGTAGTTAATTGGAAATAAAGGTCTCACAGTCTTTCCTGCCTGGGCTGGCTTTGAATTGCAAACCTCAGAGTAACGGGGATTATAAGCGTGAGCCACCAGCGCCCCACTGGCCTTCACTTTTTCTAAGACAGTTATCTTTTCTCCTTTTCTCACCACTGCAGGATAAATGTATCCTGTGGGGGGAGGGGGGGGCTGGAGGAGGAAATGTCAGGCCACAGATGTCCTGCAAAATCATGGCTATGCAACAGGCCAGGCATGCGTGCTTCTGAGAGGCTGTCTGTGGCTATCTGCCTTTATGATTCCGTATGGCCTGTGAATGATGTTACAAATATCCAAATGGCCCTTGGCAGAAAAAAAGGGGCCATGGACCCCCTGCCGCTGCGGAGTGAGGAAGTGCATGCAGGAAGAAGGGCCGCTCCTCTTCACGGCCATCTGTCCCTGTCACTGTCTTTCTGCAAGGTGACCACCAGAGGGCGCTGAGACTCCACAGAGGGAAGGGTGCTGGCCTGAGCCGCCTTCCGCTTCCTTCACTGGGGAACTCGGGGAGGACCTGGGGACGGTTCCAAAGCAGGGCACTGGCTTGCCCACACTTCGTGCTTCTGGGGAAGAGATGGGAGGAAGGAAGAGAAGATCTGGCTGTAAGGAAAAGCCCTCTGCCACCTGGTGCCTTCCTTGCTGCCGTTTTTAGTGTGGGTCAGGGAACAGCTGGGCTGGGAAGGAGTGGAGCCCCCCGGCCCCCCGGGGTGGCACCGTGTGCCGTGGGGCTCATCCCAGTGGGATGAATCTAGATGGGGGGCGGGGCTCATAGGAACCCTCGGAAGGTCACAACTTCCTGCGTCCTCATCTGGGACACAAGGTTCCATCCTGAAACCAGGGTGTGTGAGTGTGTGTGTGCGCGTGTGCGCACACGAGCGTGCATGTGCCCACCTGGGCACCCGCATTTCTCTGCTTTCTGGCAGCGTCTCTTCTGATTTACCTTCAGCCGACTCCAGCTCCCCGCTGGAAGTGCAGTTGTCGCCTGGGAAGGGAAATGAGCTCACACGGAGCTCAGAGCGGAGGACGAGTCCACGCCACCTTCGCGGCCGCCCTGCCCAGGCCCGTGCCCGTTCACTCAGTATGTGAACTACTCGTGCAGGGGTCGTTTTCTTTGGGAAGCTCGAGCTCGGGCAGAAAAGATAAAGAGTTGTCGCCACGCTCAGCTGCGTGCCCACCCCGGGGTTTTCTCTTAGGAGGGAAAAGTGATGCCATGCAGTGGACTCGACCTCTCAGAGCCCGGGTGCCGGCGCCCCGCCCCCTCCAGACCCCGCTGCTGGTCTGGCACAGCCTGCACCAGAGGGGGTGGGCGGCTGCCTGCTCCTCTCCTCCGGGAGGGGAGCCTCTAACGCCACCCCAAGAATTCCAAGGAAAAGCCGTGTCCTTGGGCAGCCAGGCACTGCGGGCCGGCACTGCCCCAGCCCAAGGCCCCAGAGCCGGGGAGGAGGGTTGCAAATGTCTGTCCCGAAGCAGACGGCCACTATTTGGAGCTTTTGCAGGCCACAGGCATTGTCTGCAGCCCCCGGGAAAGCTGCCACGGGGCCGTGATGAGGGAGGGAGGTGTGTTCCAATAAAACTTTACTGAGTGGACGCAAGTGTGAGTGGTGTATATCTTCCTGGGCAAGGAAGCACCGTTCATCTTTAGCTTCTTTGCTTTAAATACTTGAAAATATCAGAGACAGTCTGGGCTCCCGGTGGCGTAGAAGGAGGTCTCGGACCCGATCTGTCTCGGGCATTTTCATCTGCCCACATCTGCCTTTCCGGCCATGGCCCACCTAGTACAGAGAAGCTGGGATGCAGGGAATGCGGCTGTGGTTTGTTCCCAGCAAGACACACACGCGGCTGCTTTCCTAGGCCTGGCCCCGGGGACAGGCTGTGCAGCTTTCCGGGTCCTTCCAGAGCTCGGGGCCACTGGCTGGGTTCCCTGGCAGGCACTTTATGGCTTTCTGGCCAAATCCTGCCACCAGCCTGCATTCCTTCCAGTGTTTCCATGTGCGTGTGATGCCAGCAACAGGCCGCGGGCCGGGCAGGGTGGCTCTGCCACCTGTCTGAGGAGTCAAGTGCTCTGACAAGCCTGGCATCTCCACAGCCCGCCCCTCCACACCCCCTCCCGGCCCCTCCAGCACCACCTCCCGAGGTCGGACACAAGGAGAGGCCCTTGAGCCAGGGGACATGAATGCTTCCACCTCAGACAATCCTGGAAGTCTCTGTAAGTTCTTTATTCAGACAACAGAGCACAAAGATACAAGTTCCAGGTGCATCCTGATGCACATTTTTGACGGGCACAGAGACGCATCGAGTCCGGAGCAGCTGCAGCAAGCGCCCCGCACGCACGGTGCACAAAGCGCCCTCCACCCTCAGCCTGGACGCAGTGTCCTGTGGGCTGCATGGCTGCCCTCTCTCCAGCCCTGTGGCGGCTTTCCCCTCGGCCGTCACGCTATCCTGCTGAATGAGAATCTTCACGAGGGACTGAGGGGCCGAGAAGCAGTGGCGCATCACACAGCCCTAAAATAGTGAGCTGCCTGGAGCCAGCTGCTGTGTCTGGTCACAGGCCCCTCCTGGCCCGGTGCCTGTGGGCACAGTCACCCGTGGGCAGGGGCGGCCCAGGGCTGTTCCCTGGCTCACACAGGCAGCAGCAGGCTCCCCGGGGGCCCAGCATCACTGCTGTGGCCTGCGCCTCTTGTCTGTCTCCGACCAACGTCCATGGAGTAGAGCAGAGATTGCCACCTCCACCGGGCACTGAAAATGCCAATGTTGACACCAAAGACGGATCTGCGGAGGGAGACTGAGGCCTCACTCAGCCGTGCGCAGGGCTGGCCCCGAGGAAGTGCTTCGCAGTCAAGGCCTCCTGGGCCAGCCTCCAAGGCCAGGCCCTCAGCAAGCTCTGGGGCTGCGTTCTGCTGTGGACACTGGCACAGGCCTTGGCACGGGGCCAGACCCTGCCAGGAGGGAATGAGGTCCCATCCTTCCTGCTTTCCAAACCAAGACACCCTCCAGACCAGCTTCACCTGCAGAGGCCCCAAGACCCCACAGCCCCACTGCCCCAAGCCAAGACCACTGTGCTAGCCAAAGCACAAAGCGGGACCCTCCACAGGCCCAAGAACCGTGCGGAGCTGGAAGGAACCTCCCCCAGACCCAGCCGCCCTTGGTCCTGACCGAGGCCCCTGGCTGAATTCTGGGCCTCGCAGTGGACAGACAGGTGGAGTGGGCCAGAGCACAGTGGGCAGTTCCCCGCCCCCCCCCCCCAGTGCAGGCCGAACACACACAGTCCCAGCTGGCTGGCCAGGGCCCTGCCGGGCGCCTGGCCTGCTCCTTGGGGCACTCTGGCCGAGGGAAGGACAGCACGATTTCAGGAAGCAGCTGTGGGTCCTCCCCGCCCAGCAGAGGCAGCCAGGCCTGTGGTCACACGGGGTGAGGGGCTGTGCGCCCAGCCTGTCTCCGGGCGCCTTGGCGTGGGCTTTGCTAGTGAGGGGTGAGGTTGGGGGAGGGCGGGCCGGCCTTGGGGAGGGCAGGAGGACCCTGGCATGGGAAGCAGACAGACAGAGGCTTCTCTACCACTGAGAGACACAGGTGCGCTGTCTGCCTACTCCGGCTACCCACTGAAGTCAGCCAGAGTCCACACCAGGTAGAACAACGGGGCTCCAGGTGTCCCAGACAGAAGCCACGGAGAGCAAAGAGGAGGGCTGCAACATGGATCTCAGGTGTTCAAACTAACAGTCGGTGCGCGGCACACTTTATTTCTATAAAACTATTACAAAATATTCCAAAATACATCTTAGTAAATTTACAGCAGTTATTTCTCAATTTATTAATGCAAAAAAATCCTTTGTTTTTTTTTTTCTCTGTACAAACTACAGGCTCCATCCTTGTGAGCTCCTCGCTGCGTGTGCTTTTAAAAAATAGTCTCTTCTAATAAATTCTTTGAGGTTAAAAATAACAGTTCTTCCAGTTTGCCCCCCCAAAAAGGTGTGTGTGTGTACGTGTGTGCGTGTATGTGTGTAACAGTCGTGGCTCCCAAGAACGTGGCCAAAATGGTGATTACAAAGCAAATAGTAAACCATGAAGACAGTACAGAAGATAGCTGTCACATTGGAAACTAGTTAAATTAAAATAATATATTTTCATATTTTACACTATTTCAAAAAATGAAATGTCATTCAGTTAAGTATTGATCTCTCAAAAAATCTAATTTACAATTCTGTGTATAAAAATATAATTTGTGGACCCCACGAGGCATGGTTGAGTTTACATTTGCCAAAAAGCAGGAGCATGGCTGAGGGGGAGGAGGAGGAGGAGGAAAATAAGAGGAAGAGGAGGAAAAGGAAGATGGGGGGGGGGAGGAGGAGGAGGAGGAGGAGGAGGAGGAGGAGGAGGAGGAGGAGGAGGAGGAGGAGGAGGAGGAGGAAAAGAAGAGGAGAAGGCGGCTGGCGTGCAGAACTTCGTTTTGCACACCCGAGAAGAGGGACAAGTAGAAAAATAGACTCTGAGCAGGTTGCTTGGCCTCACAGAATAACCTTCCCCCGTGAGTACAGTTCACATGATAATAATAAATTATCCAAGACACAAACTATTAAGGCTCTTGAAGACCCGGTTCATATTATTTAAAATATCTATTCATACCAAACAAATAAATAGCCAGGAGAGGAGGAAAATAACCAAAATAAAACAACAACGAAGAAACTCAAAACAACACATAAACTAAACACAACAACAAGGCTTCCCGGGGTCTTTGTTTCCTTAGGGTCTACTTTGGACTGTCCTACGTTATTATTATTATTAATATTAATTATTTATTATAATTAGCAGTCTCGTTCCGTGCGCGTGCCCCGTGTCGTGGCTTCCTCCTGCGTGCCTCCCGCCGCCCGCCCGCCCCTCCGGGCCGCGCGGGGTCCCCGCGGCCTTCAGCCGGCTGGGGCCGCCATGCCCAGCGGGTGCATGGTCTCGCTGTCCAGCAGCCAGGTGCCGATTTGGTAGAGCAGCTGCGAGTACCAGTGCACGCCCGGGGCCGGGGCCGGGGCCGGGGCCGCGCCAACGCCGTCCGTGCGCGCGGGCGCGGGCGCCAGCGCGGCCAGCAGCGCGTGCGCCAGGCGGAAGGGCGCGAAGGCCCAGTGCGCCCAGCCGTGCTCCTCGATGACGGCGTAGCACGAGGCCAGCACCCGGTTGACCAGGATGGTGCCCTGCGCGGTGAGCGGCGCGTACGCGCCCGCCGCCTCCTCGCGCACGGTCACGCGGTGCACCGCGGCCGGCCGCAGCCGCCGCCGCCCGCCGCGCCCGGACGCCACGTACACGCGCTGGCCCGGGCGCACGCTGCTGGCGAAGAGCGCGCGGCGCCCCGCCGGGGCCGAGCCGTTGTGCGGCGGCGCCACGAAGAGCAGGTGCGCGGCGGTGAGCAGCAGGCGCGCCCGCGGCTCCCGCGTCTCGATCACGTAGAAAACCTTCCGGGCGCGGTCGTCGCGGTCCAGGAAGGCCAGGAAGTCGCTGTACAGCAGCCGGCCCTGCTCGTCGGCCGCCAGCACGCGGTCCCCGGGACGCAGCTCCCGCACCGGCTTGGTGCCGCCCCGCTCCAGGTGCACCGTGGCCCATCCCGGGAAGCAGCCGCCGGACTTGGCCGCCACCGAGTTCTCTGCGGTGGGGAGGGAGGAGAGGGACAGGTGTTGAGGCCGCGGGGTGGGGGCCGCAGCCCGCCCCCTCCCCGCTGGCGCGTGGGGCGGCAGGCGGGTCACACCGCACACCGGCGGCCTTCCCCCCCCCCCCCCCCAGCCCGGGCCGGCGCGCGCCCAGCCCCGCTCGCTCGGATTCCCGGGAAGCCTCCTTCTTCCTTCCGCCCCGGGGCGCCGGGCCCGGGGCTGGGCTGCGGGGGGCGGGGGGGGGGCGGGAGACATAGCTGCAGTAGTTGTAGCAACTGCACAAACATTCCCGGGAACGGCCCGAGGTGTGAAAACCCGAGGCTTGTGTGGATTCTCTAATTAAAATCCAATAAAGAGCCCGGCCCTGTCGCGGTGGTTTCTGGAATAAAGCGGAGCCCCTCTTGGAAGCGGGGTCTCCTCCCCCGCGGCTGGCTCTGCCCTCCGGCCGCCCCTCCCTATTTACTCAGGTGCCGAGCCCTCCCCGCGCGCCGTTCACACGCGGCCTCTCCAGAAGCCGGGCCTCCCAGGCACTGTTTGCACAGCCCGGCCTCTCCTGCGAGCACTCGAGCTGTGTATTTGAATTTTAAATGGCCCGGCCCGCGCCGCGCCGGTTCTCAAGGCCCCTTGACTACCCGCGCTCTCCGGCCCTCGGCCGCCGCGGGTCCCCAGGACAATCCTGGCGGCGGGGGCGGGGCGCGGGGCGGCGCGGGGGCGGGGTCCCCGTCGCCGGCGCATTCCGATCTCTGGGATCAGGCTTTTGGCAAATAGAGATGGCCAGAAAGAAGCTTCCTGCTGGAATGGCCGAGGGGGGTTTAATCTTCTCATCGGTTTCTCCGTCATGAAGTGCGGGGCTGGGCCCCGGAGGCCCCGCGCAGCCCCCCGGAATGCGGGACGCCGGCTAGGCCCGAGCCGTCGACTCTCACGACCCCGCTTGACACGCACGGCGCCGCGCCCCGGCCCGCGTGCGCGGAATGCCAATGAGCGGCGCTGCGCTCCGGGCTCGGCCCCGCGGGGCCGGGGACCCGGAGGGGGGGGCGGGATCGTTTGGGAGGATAGCTTCAGGGACCCCCGCCAGGGGGACCCCGCGGCGCGGGGGGTGTGGGAAGGCGGGGCTCTCGCCACCTCCATTTCCCACCGGGGCCGCCCCCCCCCCCGCCCGTCCCCGCTCGGAGCCCCGCGGGGCGAGGGGCCGGCCCTGGCCTGAGACCCCCGGGCCGCACGCGGGCTGCCCCGGCCCCGCTCCCACGCCTCGGCCTTGCACGGCCTTGGGAAGCCGGTGCGTTCTCCACCCATCTATCCGGAGCGCCTGGACGCTTCCAAAGTGCCTTTCTACTCGCGGGCGCCATTCAAAGGCAGCTGGGGGGCCCGGGAAGTGGGGGCTTCCAAAATGCACTGCGAGCCGCCCGGCGGACGCGTCCACCGGGGGCGCGAGACGGCGGCGGCGCGCGCGCGCTCCCGAGCGGGGCCCGCGGGCGCGCCCGGGGACGGCGCCGCGCGCGGCTGTTCCTCCCGGCCGCCGCGGGTGGCGTTGCAGGCCCGGGGAAGTCGACCGGCGGGGAAGCCGGCCCGGCCTGGCCCCCGCGCCCGCCCGCAGCCCAGCGCCGCCCAGCTCGACGCCGGGCGCGGTGCGGGGGGGGGGGGCGCGGCCCTGCCGCCTCCCTCCCCCCGGCCTCTCGCCCCGCAGCTCAGCAGGAGTTGAGTTCGTTTAGACCCCGCGGGGCCCAGCGGGCAGGGGGGGGTTACGCCCCGGACAGAGCCCTGAGTGCTGAAGTCCGCGTGCGAGGCCCGCGCCCCGATTCCGGCCTCGCCACCTGCAAGGGCCCCGTTCTCCCCCGGCTTCCAAGGTGGGCAGGGTCCTGGGGGGGGGCCCAGCGGCCTCCAGAAAGAACCCCGCTTCCTCTGGACGCCACGTCCTCCTTGGTCCCCCCTCGGCCTCGGGAGCGCGGGCCGGCCGGGTCGGCGGGGCGGGCTCACCTGCTTTCACCGAGCAGTGGATGTGCGCCTTGGACTCGTAGTAGACCCAGTCGAAGCCGGCCTCCACCGCCAGGCGCGCCAGCATGCCGTACTTGCTGCGGTCGCGGTCGGAGGTGGTGATGTCCACGGCGCGGCCCTCGTAGTGCAGGGACTCCTCCGAGTGGTGGCCGTCCTCGTCCCAGCCCTCCGTCACCCGCAGCTTCACCCCCGGCCACTGGTTCATCACCGAGATGGCCAAGGCGTTCAGCTTGTCCTTGCACCTCTGCGGAGAGAGGGGAGCCCCGACCGACAGACGCGTTAGCTGAGGCCCCGCGACCGCAGACCCGGCGGTGCCGGTGAGAAAGGTCATGGGGGGGGTTGCAGGGGGAGGGGGAGAGGGAGAGGGCCAAGGGGGCTGCACGGGCAGGGGGCTGCAGGGGCAGTGAGCCCCCTCCGGGCTGAGCGCAGGGCCTTGTTGACCTTACGTTTCAGACATCACCCCCAGAATCTTCCCGAGGCGCCACAACCCTGCACCCCCCCCCCACCGCCCCCTTCTGCTCCCCAGGGCAGGTCTCCCGGTTGGAGAGGCCGGGGCCCTCGGCGGAGAGGCTGTCTCGCGCACTTCCGCAGGGAAGTGAGCCCCCGCCGGGCTGTGTCCGCGCCACGCCCGTGGGGAGCGGGGATGAGGCCTGCAAAGCGCGCGGCCGCCGAGCGCGAGTGCGGGGCTGGCGAGGCGCGGCCGGCCGGCGTCCGCAGTCCCCAGTCGGGCGGGCCCAGGACAAACATTCCTGGTCGCGGCGGCCCCGCTCCTCCCCCGTGGAGCCGCAGTGGCCAGGCCGGGCGGCGGTCTGGTTGTGGTCTTGTTTTGTGTAACCTGTTCCCCTCCTCCTCTCGCCTAGACCCGGTGCAGAAGGGCGTCCGGCCGGTTTGAGGCGCTGAAGAGGGGAGGGGGAGAGGAGACGGGGTGGGGCCGGGAGGCCGGGTGGGGGGGGTTCGACCTCCCTCCCCGCGCCCTGGCTGGCCCTCCGCTCCGCTCCCACGGGGGAGCCTAGGCCTGCGGTGTAGGGGGGTCCCCGAGACGCCCGACCCGGGTGGAGGCGGGGGGGGGGGGGGGGAGGCAATTCCAGGCCGGCTTTTGTGGAGCGAGGGCCGGGCGCCCACCTGGCCCACGCGGGGAGGGGTGCCGGGCGGAGGGCTGGGCACAGGTCGGGGACTCGGCGCTGGAATGACAGGTTGCGCAACAGGAAAAGTCTTGTGTATCTGGCGGCAATAAAACCCAGTAATGCGGTTGTGGAGTTCAACCCACAACCGATGGAGGGCCGGGGGGCGGGCCGGCCGGCGGCAGGCCGGGGCTCGCTCGCTCCCGGGCCTGCCGGCTGTGGTCTTTAAGGAAAGGTCCGAAGGGCAGAGTTGGGGTGAGGTCATCTCGCGGACTGCGTGGGTTTCACACGAAAATCAATCGGTAAGCCCGGGTCTGCTGGGAACCGGGCTTCGAAGCTGGTGCGCGCAGGCGCACACCGCAATACGCACACGCGCAACGCCGGCCCCGTTCCCGCCCCCACCGCGCCCGGGCTCCCGGCCGAGCAGGGGGAGCCCGGCAGCGCCCCGCCCGGGAAGCTGCCTGGCCCGGGGGATTCCGGGGGGGCCCGAGACGCGCCCCGGCCATCCAATAACGCCGACCCTGAGGGCCCCACGCGAGAAGCCCCGGGGGCCGACTTAGGCCTGGCGGCCGGTCGGGCCGAGGCCGAGGGGCGCCCGAGTTGACGCCCCGCGCCCTCCCCTCCCCTCGCCACCGGGCCTGCGGCCTCCGCGGCGGCGGCGGCGCGCTCCCGCGCGGGGCCAGCCGGGAAGCCGGGGTGGTTATTAATTCATCGGGTCGTGTGCCGCCAGTCGAGCGCCTCGGTGCAGCCGCTGTGAAGCCAGCCGGGCCCGGCGGGCGGCTTTGTGCCGGCGGAGGCCGCGCGCCCCCCAAGCCCTGAGCTCACGCGCACCCGCGGCCCAGCGCCGTCCCCACCCGTGGCGCGCTGAGCTCAGCCGAGAAGCGCCCTAACTTCCAGACCCCGGCTAGAGGAACCGGACCCTCTCCGCGAGCCCAGAAACGCCTCCCTCCAGCCGGCCCCGGGCGCCTATCCCCAGCACCCAAATCGCAGGGAGATGGGCGGGACGGGGCTCTCGAGGGGTCCCCGCTCCAGCCCCTCGAGGCCTCCCGCCCCGGCCCCCGGCACCCCGGCCTGGCACACGAGGCCTGCGCGGCGCAGTGTCTGTCTGAGCTTCCCGCTCCGAGTTAATATTAACCCGGAGCTCCTGCTCCAGAACGGCCCCGAAAGTTCCACTGGGGACGATCTTGCTATGGTTGAGGGAGTCGGGCGGCAGACGGGGAGGGAGGCGAGACAGGGCAGTGGGGTGCACGCCCGGGCCCGCGCGCTGGGGGCCAGCGGGCATGGGTTCCTCGCGGGCGAGCGCACACCTCCGCCTGGCCCGGCCCGGGCGATGGCCTCGCGTCCCCCCGCTCCGCTCCCCCCGCCGCGCGCCCCGGCCTGCGCCCCTGAACCCCCGGCCCGGGACCGCAGCCTACTCTCCGCCGCCTGCGTGTTTGGGGGTGTCCGTGGGGTTGGCTCTGCGCACCCTTCCCCCCCCCCCAGCCTCTCCCCAGGTGGAAGAAGTGTTTTCGTTCAGTCGGGCTGGGGAAGTTGACGGAGGCTCAGAAGTTCAAAGGCTGCGCGCGGCAGAGAGTGGCCGGGCGCGGGGTGCTCGGCCCGGGGGTGCCCAGTCCGGACGGGCAGGGGCGGGGGGGGGCACGCGGGCTGGGGGTGCGGCCGGCGGCCGGCCGGGCGCGCAACCCCGGCCCCTGCCCCGCCCCGCCTCTCCTCCTTCCCAGCCCCCGCCTCCAGGGCCCGGGCGCTCGTGGCGGCGGGACGGGCTCCGGGCTCTTTTGGGGCGGTGCTCGGTGCGCGAAGCTGCGGGGACTGGCGGCCCGAGCCCAACTCCGAGTGCACGGGAACCGAACCCTGGCGCCGGGGTTAGTACCCCGGGAGCCAGCGGAGCTGAAATGCGTCGCCTCGGCGCGCGGCTCTGCGCGCTCCAGCCCTGCAGCCGGCGGCCAGACCGCGGCCCCTGGCCGGAGACCCCGGCTCCGACGCCCGCCGGGCACACGCCCCGCCCCGGCTGAGGGACTCGGGTGTCCTCCGCCTGAGTCGCGCCTCTCGGGACCTGGACCCGGTCCCTGGCCCGCGGGGAGCGAGGGTGCGCAGGGCTCGGCGCCCCAGACCACTCCCCCACCCCGAGCCCGGCCAGCACGCGCGCCGCACCCCGCGGCCCGCGCGGAGTGAGCGGCCGCACGCGCCGCGCTCGGCTCCAGCGCGCGTCCGCACTTGCGGTCCAGATTTCAGGAGGTCGCGCTGGCGAAGGAGGGCGCGGGGCCGGGGGGGCCCGTCTCCCCCCGCTCCCCGGCCTCCCGTCCGCCATCGTCGAGCGGCGTTCTCCGCGCAGCTCCCCGGCAGCGACCCCGGAGCCGCCCGGCGCGCTCCCTCTCCCGCCGCCGCCCGAGCGCCCAGCCCCGAGGTAGCACTCGACTGTTTTAATAGGGCAGTAAAAAGGATGCTGACCTATATTCGCCAGGAACCCCATTTCCAGCTTCAGTCAGACGTGCGTGGAGTTGGAGACTGTGGAACTGGCTGGGGTGTGGGAGGAGGCGGAATTCGCGCTGGCGCTGCCGGGCCGCTCCCCGCGCGCCCCGCGCGCCCCGCGCTCCCCGCCCCCCCACCTTGGTGTGTTCGCTTCGGATTCTTATGCAAGCAGGTTGGAAACTAAAGTGATGCAATGCCAGGAAGTTCCCGGTCCCTCCCCCGGGTACCGCGGGCCGGGGAGGACGAGCATCCTCCCAGATCCTTAGGAGGCTCACTCGCCGCGGACGCTGCCCGGGACGCGGGGCTCCCCGGCCTTTTGTTAGAGCCGCCCCCGGGGTGTCGGAGGGGAGGCCGAGAGCGGGGGGGCCGGCAGGCGGCTCCAGGCCCAGGCCGGGTCTGCACAGAGCCCGGGGAGCAACTTGTCCCCGTCCCCCTTCCATTTCCATGCCTCCCACCCCGGGGCGAGGGGCGCCCCAAGTTGCCGGCCAGAGCAGGCACAGGTTCCGGGGAGGTCGGCCCAGACGCCGAATCGGATCAGCGCCATCCCGGACTCCCCCACCCTCCCCAGCCCCAGCCTCTGCGCCCGGCAGGACCCTCCACCTCCTTCCTCCTTCCTGCTCCCCGGGGAGGAAAGGTGCGGGGAGGGCAGGCGGGCGGGGAGGGAGAGGGCCGCGCCACCGCGCTCCCGCCCGGTCCGGCGCCCCGCAGCCCCGGGCGGGCGCGGCGTCTACCTGAGTCATGAGCCGGTCCGCGCCGGTGTTCTCCTCGTCCTTAAATATGATGTCGGGGTTGTAGTTGGGGGTGAGTTCCTTAAACCGCTCGGAGTTCCTGGAGATCTTCCCCTCGTACCTGCCGCTGGCCCCCAGCGTCTTCTCTGCTACGTTGGGGATGAACTGCTTGTAGGCTAAGGGGGTCAGTTTTTTAGGGTGCCGCCTCTTGCCGAAGCCCCTGCCGGGTCCGCACGCCAGCCCGGAGCCCAGCAGCAGCGAGGAGACCAGAACCACCAGCAGACATCGGGCCGGCGGCAGCATCTTGTCCCCGGAAGCCGGGGCGGGGGGGCTCCGGGCTCTCCCGCGCGGGTCTGCGCGCAGGCGGGCGCGCGCGGCGGCGCTGTGCGTGTGCGCTCGGCTCCCGGCCTCGCTCGCTCGCTCTCGCTCCGGCTCGCTCTCCCTCGCTCGCTCTCTCGCTCGCTCGCTCTCCCTGGCGCGCGGCTGCCTCTTTTTCTTCCTATATCACCTTGCCCGCCGCCGCGGCCGGGGACTCGCCGCCGATCCCCACCCAGACAGGGGCTGCGGTGGCGGGCTGCGGGTCGCTAATAACGGAACACATGGGCGTTGGGTCCCAAGACAGCGATTAGCAGACAAAAAGAGGCTGGGTTCCGATGGAAGGAGGCCGGGGAGCTTGTGCGCGCGGCGGCCCCGCCGCGCTATATTATAGCCGGCAGGGGCGCGTCTGATTGGCCGCCGCGCCAGCTCGCGCTCTGCTGTTAACCCTGAAGTCTGCGTCTCCCCCGGCGCCTCTCCAGGCCCCGCACCCGAAGGCTGCGAGTTACAAACATAAGAAAACAAAAACCAAAGGCCGTCCCGCAGGTAGAGGGGGCGGGGGCGCGCGCGCGCAGAGAACCTCGCCGCCGCCGCTTTGTGCTCGCCGCCCGCCTCCCCCTTACTTTCCCGGGAATGGTAGGTGCTCTTTAAACCAACAGAAGTTTTTGAAGGACAGCCTGGACCGGGGCGGGAGGGGGGGGGTGTCCACACCCAGCTTCAGCGATCCAGGTCTCTCGAATGGTTAAGGGCCAAGCTGCCCGGCCCCTCTTTCATCGCCGGGGATCCCATGCCACAAGGTGAGGGTCTGCGTGGAGAGGCAGCGGGACCCCCGAGCCCGAATATCCACCATCCGGGAGCAGAGGCCCCAACGCAAGGCATGGCTGCCTTAAGAGCTTTAGAAAAACTTCTGGGATGGGAGCAGGGGGTCCCCGCTTAGGGTAGGGGAGGGCAGATGGGGACCGGAGGGCCGCAGCGGGTGTGTGGCTCACTGGGTCTCGGTGCTGCGCCTCAGCAGGCAGAAGGGAGGCGGCTGGGCAGTTGCTGCAGGCCTCGGGGCCTCGTGCCCAAACCTCCGCCCCCACCAGTGACCAAGGCTGGACACACACACTCCTCCATGATCAAGACCCACAGGAGCAATGCTGGGCTAGAGGGGGTCGAATGTGGGGCTCAGACTCCTTGCCACAGCTGGCAGCGGTGCTGCCCTAAGTCAGTCCCCAAGGACAGAAGATATCCATCCCGGGGCTGCAGCCACAGGAAGTCGGGGACGAGAGGGGACCACACTGGCCATCCAGCCAAGAGGGATGTCCTAGAGGAGGACTTGGAGCCTAGGGGTCAGTAGTGCTGGGGTCCCTGATCTGCGACTACTTCCAGGAAAAGAAAAAAAAAACTCAATGAAAATGCTAATTAAACCTCAGAAACAAAATCTGGGACTCCTCGTTGTGGAAACTTCCTTTTGGTTCTGCCTCTACCCACCACACTAGCCTATGATGTGTCCTCAGTGCCCACCCCAGGCGGACACTGCTCCTCGGTTGCTCCCCCCCCCATCAAATGCTGTCCTATGACCCCAGCTCATCCCAGGGCTTTGGAGAGGCCTGTCCGAAGTAAGTCCTTTGCCAATGGGGCCTTCTAGCAAGTTCCTTTGCAGACAAACATTCACCCTCTTCCTTCCTTCCTTCCTTTTCCTTCCTTTGTTCCTTAATTCATTTCTTCGTCCTGTTCATTTGCCAGGAACCTCTAGAGAAAGAGTGCAGGGTCCAGCCTGTCTGCCCGCTCCCCCTCCCCCAGGGGGATGAATTCAAAAGCTCTCCTCCCCTCCCCTCGCTTTTTTAGGATTATGAAGAAGTTCTCCATGGACTCCTGGGCCAGGGGAGAAAACAAGTCTCCAGCCCCCTTGGGGTGCTGAGTGTGGAACCAGGTCTTGGATGGGCAGAACTTAGTGGATGAGCAGGTGGAAATGACTCTCTCTCCCCTGTGCTCCCAGAGAAAGCACACAATGAGGACCCAGCATCTGCGCTTCAAGCCACACGTGGGTGTTGCTCGGTAGGGTGGCAGCTGGGTCCTCGGCCCGGCCCGTTGCTCCAGTCCTCCCCTTTCCCTGCTCTTTTGGGCCCTTTGGACCCTTCCTATAAGCTGTTCAGGCTTTAAGTACAGACCAATGGATGCAGGGTCCCAGAGGCACGCAGCCCCCCCCCTCCCCCGCAGGCTCAGTGGGGAGGCAGAAGGCTGGGCTGCACAGAAATGCATGTGGGCACAGCTGCCCCCAGGCACGGCCAGCTCCCTCTTGGCTGGCAGTGGGGAGGGGAGGTTGTGTCTGGTGGCCTGCCCTAGAGACAGGAATGACACTTCCTTGTCTGGCTAGCTGCAGACACCCAGAGGGCAGGTCAAAGGCTGGCCCTTCCAGGGTAAAGTAAGGATTCGCCATAAAACCTGCCACTGAAGCTTTGCTTGGAGGACTCACTGGGGGGGAGGGGGGGGGGGAGGAGGATTACAGTTTCTCCCGATCGTCTTGGAAACCAGAGTGCCAGAGGGAACCAGACAGAAGCTGCAGCCTCTGCCCTAGGCCGGCCGGGCATCCAGATCCACGCACCCACCGCCGCCGCGGCCTTCCACCTCCACACACCAGATGGCTCTCTCTCTTTGCCTTTCCCCCTCCAGACAATTTGGGCCCCTCCCTGTGCCCAGCCTCTGCCACACGGGACCCCCAGAGTCCATCTCTACCCTGCTTAGGCTCTGCCCTTCTTTCGAATGGCCAGGTGCATCCCTGTCGCTCCCTTCCCCTTTCCACCCACCCACTCAGGATCCTGGCCTCCCCACCTGAGTAGTTGCCTCTGCCTCCTGCCCCTCCCCCAGGACGGCCTTCCCAGGCACTGCCCCTCCCCCTCCAGCCCCTGCCGCTAGATGGCGTCCTCACTCTGCCTTCAGCTTGGGCCCAGAGAGTTTGGGAAATTCCACAGTTTGGGGGTGGAAGGGCCTGGCACCGGGCTAGCCTCTCTGACATCTTCGGTCCAAGCGGTCTGCCCAGCTGCCCAGTTTGAATTAGGGGGGCTCACAGCTCCAGCTGTGTACCTCCCAACCCAGTCCCTGCACTTCCAGTTGCTCTGGGGTCATAAATCTCCTCTCCTCAGGGTCCCCTGTCTCCCTGATTACCGTTCTACACAATCTGTTTCCATCCAGTCATCCAGTTTAACTTTCTTCCCATCGTTCCCCCATTTTGGCAAACTGTGTTTCAGCACAGGCTTGGCAGCCAGGCCACTCTGCAGTCTGGAGAGGACTGGCCCTTTCACGTTGCCCCCAAACCCCACAGCTCCTCTAGGTCCCTGGCCTGGGGGATGTCTCCAGCTGGCTGAGACTGCAGCTCCTGGCTGCCCAGAGCGACCGGGTGCCCTGTGGCCACAGCCTGGGGCAGTGGGGCTGAAGCACTCGGTCAGACTTGATGAGGCCTGGTCCTGGGGCAGCCCTGGCCTCCTGGGCCTCTGCCCCCCGTGCTGGTGCACAGCCATGCAGGAGAGAGCAGACCGGCCAGGCCCTGGCCAGCGCAGGACCCCAGAACTGGGGCTGGGAGAGACTGCCGCTGCCCACTGTGCGGGCTTCCTGCCGGCTGTGTGCTGTGTCTGCACGGCTGGGCACCGGGTGGCCCCACTGTCCACCAGCCCCAGGATCCGGGGCCCCTGGGGCTCCCTGGTGGTGGCCGCTCCCTCAGCCCCGTGCAGTGCCGTCCAGCTGCTGTCTCCAGGGCCCGAGCTTGCTCTGGAGTAGAGTTTTCTTCCACAGCATGGGAGTTCCTGCCTCTGCAGCCCCACGGCCTTCCCAAGACTCCCACCCTAATCTGTTTGTGCCACAAGTGGCAGGACAGGCCCCCTTGCTAGGGCCTCATGAAGGGGGGGCTTGGACAGCAGCTCCTGGGGTGGCTGCGGAGCTCACCCCCAGCCAGCCCGAGCAGAAAGCCGTGCTCTGTCACGTAGACGGCCCCGGTGTGTGGGGGGGAGTGAGCCCAGGTGAACCCCAGCCTCTTCACCTGTGCCGTCTGCCCCCTCAGTGGTCCAAAGGCGCCTCAGCTGTTGGTCTCTGTAGTCTGGACAGGGTGACCTCCAGCACATCGGGAGGTGGAGGGAGAGGCCCCAGGAGGACGGGTGGCGTGGCACGGGGGGGAGCACACGCAGGGACCCCAGACCTGCTTCTTCTGGCCTTCCCCTGATCCCCGTGCCCATGCTGTCCCGGTGCCGGAGCCGTCGTGAACCCAGCCGTGCAGCCATCGTCCCTGCGATCTTCAAGCTACTTAAGATGCAGCGGCCCCTGGGAAAGTCAATACGTTAAACCTGTGCGCGTTGGCTCAGCAGCACTCTGAAGAAAGACGCCAGCAAGCCATGCCGGGGCCTCCCTCTCCAGCAATCAAATCAGCGTCTCTGCTTTGCTGACTCTCCTGATGTGAGTTCCTGGGCCTGGCCGGGGTGGGGCGGGGAGAGGGTCTGGCCCGGGTGGGTGGCTCTGGTGCTCTGGCCGGAGGGGACGTGTCGCGGCTCCTCCTCGCAGCAGCCTTGCCTGGCACACACGGCTTTCCTCGGTGCAGTCTGGAAGAGTAGACATTGATGGTGAGTTTCTGGATCTTTCTGGGGCACGGCTAGCAGCCCGTGCGCAGAGGAGAGCCCTGTCCCCGGAGGGTTGGCTCACAGAGGCGTCGAGGCCCAGAGAGGGCATGGGAAACTGTGCCGAGCTTCCCGGAGGGAGAGCGCCCGCCTGCAAGCCCTCCTATCCCCCTTAGAGGGGGGAGACACAGCCTGAGGCTCCTCCTTCCTGCTTTGGCTTCTCGGTAGGGGAGTCTCCTGAAGGCCAAGGCTCTCATGCAGGCACTAGGACATGATAACCATCTGGAGAGAGAGAGGGAGGGAAAGGGAGAGGGAAGGATGGGGGACACCTGCACTGCTAAGCCTCTGCCCCTCATTCACCCTGGGCCCACTGAATGGGAGGCCCGTGTGTGGGGAGGGCTGCCG